AAGCATTTTAATGAACCATGCTATATGCTTACAGAAGTACTCCGCTAATGACTATCAGCCTGCAGACTGGCTAAAATAATGTCACACATCTATAAATCCCTAAATCCATGATGAAGCAACCAACTGACATACCCAGAAACACACACTCAAAATCCATCGCATTATCTCAGGCTTGCCAGTGACTATGAGGCAGAACAACAGAAGGAGTGATGATCGTAACGATCAGCAAATTTTTCAATAAGAAAAGAATATGATCAGTCAATTGAAATCAGCTGCTGCGACACCTGACGCTCTCCAAAGGGTTACGTCCACTGTAGCTGCTGCATGCAGAGAATGGTAGGAGCTACTGGTAGGTGCAGGTCTGGAACCTAACAAGGTCCAAGTACAAAAATTATTTCATATGGCAATTACTCTACTGCACATTGTCAGTCTCCTTTATCCAAAATATGCAGGAAAGAAACTGTCAGCTGAATAAGGATAAACAAGGAAAGACGGGGCTACTTTTTTAAAATGCTGACTTCCCATAATATTTATCTACATGTAAAGCAGAACCACCTCCATGCTCAGAGAATACTGTTTTCATCTGCTATTAAGGAAAAGCTAAAAAGCTAACTTGTTCCCTGTTAGCTGATCCAGCGAGCTTAGTAATGCTCACTGAACGTATCATGGGTTTTTTTCAGGCTTTGAGTATGTGCATTCAACACCAACAAACAGGCATGACACAGACACAGCATCAAGCCTTATCTTCTTCCTTGGACCGCTCCGTCTATAGCTGAACCTATGGTGTTAACCCACAACCCTTCAAGCTGCTGATTACTCATGCCTCTGAATTATTGTTATTTTCATAGATGTAAGTAATTTTTACTTTTTTAACAGAATATTTAAATATGGAAACATATCAAAACAAAACTGTATGCAGACACTCAGGTGTTTGGAATTATATATTATGCTCACTAGGTTTTACATTTTATTTACAGTACCTCAATCTGAATGGAAAGTCTTCTATAATTGCTCTTTAAGGTAACATTGGTTTTGGTTATTTACCAAAACCTGTAAATACAGTAAAACATAACTCTGATGTGTATTAGGGTATATACTACGGAATATAAAAGATAGATTTATTTTATTTTTGCAGAGTAGTAAAAACCAGAATTGAATCTGATAAACACCAGAACTACTGAGTACAGAATAAATTTCCGCCACTACTGTCGCAGATCCAGCTCCACTGGAAGCCACAGTGACAGAAGTACTAGAACAGACGAAGCATGAGCAACCCCCAACCTCCTAACTAAAACGTTAAAAGTTCCTTCAAAAAAGACTAGGTGAAGAGGGTTTGGGGTTTTTTTTAAACACCCCAGCTCCTGATTTACAATCTACTATTGCTACTGCTACTACTGGAGTGTGGAACTGGCTAAGTTTGGTTATTCAAATTTGTCCCTGCAGGGTTTTTTGTCTGTGTATTTGTTCGTATTTTTCAAGACAGCTCAAGTTCATCTGGAACATCTTTGAGATTAATGTCACCTTGCCTGTGGTTAGGTTTCTTGCTGAATTTCCTTTCTTCCAATCATCCCTTCAGGACCGGAAAAAAAAAACAAAAACAAAAAAAACCCAAACAAACCCAAACCACCACCCAAATAAAATCAAGAAAAAGGATTGAGCTCTGGTACAATGTTTTCTTACACTTGCAGTTTTACAAATTTTATACCTAACTTAACTAAAATGCAGTACATTTCCTACAGTACATTTCCTACAGTAGGAAAATGAGTAAAAATCTGTCTTTTATCTACCTCAATTCCTCCCAGGTAAGTTCCAGTTCCAGTTTTGCTTTCATAAATCACTCTTACTTTAGCTTAATGGGGTTTAAAAACAAATATTTGCTGATAATTTGAGAAATGTCACTTATATTGTTCAGTTGTGTTTGGCATGAGCAAACTGAAGTCTGAAATACGTTCGCTGAGCAGGAAGCAAGTTCAATCAACTCTCCTTAGTAAGGATTTATCAGATTAATTCAGAAATTACGATGCATAACCTAATCACAACTTAATTTAAATTTCCTCAAAGGTAAAGTAATAATACTACAGTGGTTGATTAATGAAATAGACTGTGTTTTAATCTAGGAAATTCCTAACTGTCCTTAGTGCTAAAATAAGCATATCCAACGGGAATCAATCAGGTAGGCAGATTTCTTGAAATACAACTGCAATTACAATTATATAATATTGCTGTCATCATTAACTGAACATATTTTAATAACCCCACCAAAATATTTAATCACAAAAATCATGGTAGACCTTTATGGCACACCTCACCTATCCCACTCCTCAGCAGGGCTAACGAGCCCAAGGAGCCTGTACTGCTGTATCCTGTAGTGCTTCCACTAGCTCAAGACAGCTCATTCACAACTAGTTTGTGTTTCTCTGTATAGCACTGTAGTGTGTCACGTAATCATATCCTTAGAGAAACAAAGGTAATTTAGCAAAAAAAAAAAAAAAAAGAAGAGCACAGATACAAACTCCACAGCATTTGCCAAAACTAGTGGATGTCCTATGTGAATCATGTAACACTTGTATGACACACCAACGTTCACAGAGTGGACAACTGGTGGACATTCAACAGTTCAACAAGCACATACATGAACCCATATATACACTACAAAGCCCCCAAAACACACCACTGAATGAAATGAGATACCTGTATCCTGAGAGAACCTCACTTTGTGCTGGCTTCTGAAAATAAGTCCTTCCTCTTATTTGCTTCAGGATGGAAGAGATTTGACCATGGCTATACAAAGCTCATAGCTTCTTTATACATAATCAATCATTCTCCAGTAACCAGAAAACGTAGGCTGATCTAATTCTAATTCTATAGCACCATAAAAACGTGGACCTATGTATACATGCACGTACACATGCCAGCACCATATATAGCTGCTTCGCATGATCCCTACTTATTTTAATGATACAGAAACATTTTCCCCAAACCAAACGTCAAAAAATGCCTGGCTGTAGAACAGTTACATCCTCCATTCTATTTTGGAATATGTAAATAAGTTATATAATATCTGGCGACATATCACATACCTGGTCACAGTTTGTTAATCTTCTCCAAGTATTTTGGAGATAAAACCAAAAATCCATCCTTAAGAAACTCTGCCCACTGGGATCAGATTTATATGACATATTGTATGCCCATGTAATAATTCCCAAGAACCCATTCTAAAACCAGGATATAATGAAACCGAACATATTTTTATAGCCCATCTTTAAAAAACAGATCTACAGCAGATCTTAAGCACTAAGTTCTAACGTCATAAATAGCAAGATATCACTGTTTTCAAAGCCCTTTAAAAGAATTAACTGACTTCAAGACATAGGAAAACAGATATGTTGTTGTTTCATAGAAAGAGAAACAGACCTAAAGCTACACCATGTTATAATGAGGGACATATTTAGTGCTTGCTGAAAGCATCCTAACTGCTATTTTCCTGTATCTATATAGCTGGCACTCAATTCTTCACTGTTTTTCCAGAATTTTCCTCAACAGCGAATCCTTTAAACTACATAAATTAAAGCTATTTTTAGTGATTGTCAGATTTGAAGACTACAAATCGCTGTAGTTATTGCACCTTCCTCTTCTTACATATAATCTCTCAATTAAAACAAATGTGTCCCCAAAGAACTTTGAAGAAGAGGCTGAATTAACAAACTGTTTAAGTGAACCAGAAGCAAGCCAATCCCTTACGAATACAGAATCTGTAATTAGCCAAAATGCTCCATTTTGCTGTTCACAGTGAGGCTGAGGCTCAATAAAAATTAAACACTGATGCAGGCAAGGCATTCCCATGGGGCTCACATATATTAATACATTACCACTCACCAGTTGCTTTATGTCAAAGAAACTGGGACACAGCTTGAAATTGGCTGGCTGCCTATTTGATAAAATGGAAAGCTATTGGTAATATGTATTTTCTCTTATTTTCATATCCCTAGTGTCATAAACAGGCTAAGTAAGTACTTAAATGTGGCTCCTAACAGCCACATGCTCATAATGGTCCCAAACAGATACGACCCAGGTTCTGACTGATCAGAGAATGACACTTCACAGATTCTGCATGGAGTCACAGTTACGCCTTCAGATCACCCCAAACCAATAATCCCTAGCACTGGCCTTTCCAAAACTTCTAAGGATGAGGCCATCAGTTTCTTAAAACCATATCTGAATTTAGTTCTTAGCTTGATTAGGATGCAGTCAGTAGTCCACACTTTAGTGACAACCTTTCTAAGCAAAAATGCAGAATAATTTAGGAGGCTCCATTACTACTCTGCTGAGGGCAATTTATAGAAGCTTTAATATATAGAATAAAATAGTTTGGAACTATGATTATTTTGACTTCAATGGGACAGAGTCAGGAGAACGAGTGTTTGTGAAAACCCTCTTTCAAGCTATAGATGAATAACCCATGAATGTATCAATCTTACAATTTATCAGCTCCTTCAAATCCCTCAGAAACTGAGGCACTCAGCATCTCTCTTGTGTCAAGTTAAAATAAATACTATATCAACTTTTCTTTTCAGCCAATTAAAAAACTTCAACATTAAATATGTAGCTAATAAAATGTTTAGTTTATTAAATAGTAAGCTACTGTTCAAAAAAGGGTATTTCTAAAGCCTCTGCTACAATATCATCAGTTGATAGGGTTATAAAAGCACCTTAAACTGCAACTGCAAAACGATTCACCGCCTTCAAAAAGCATGTTCCAAAATGAATGGACTGATGTTCTGAAGTTTCAGTTCTTATCCAGAAATCCTCCATTATGTTAACCTTTTAAAATTGGTCTTACTCTGTCCTTACAAGGTCATCACGATTTCCACCTCTGCAGCAGAATTCAGCCTTTCATCAATGGAGCGTGAGCATCATTCACAGAGCAAATGAATGCACATCGCCACTTGATGGCTTTAGTTCTCATAAACTTGACAAATTCTAGGCTAGTTTATGCTCACCTTTCGCAGGAGAAAGCAAATACGCTCGATATTTCTCAGCCGCTCTCTCTGTCAAGAAAAAGTGGGAAAAAGGTAGGAGATTAACTGGTGTTATAAATTAAAGATAATATATTACAATTACAATGGGTCAAGATCATAATTAATGGCTGCAGGGAAGCAACACACATTATTAACCTGAAACAACAGTATTCACTTCCTACCTACTGCTGCAAGCCAAATGATTTACCCATTTCAGAGTTCCAATAAGTTATTTTTTCATCTGTTATGGGGTGTAACAATATAAACTGGGGATTCAAGTCTGTGTTAGCCTTGAGCCAGAGGCTTCAACTTCTTTTAAGTCAGCATTCGTGGTTCTGTCCAATGGTGCCAATCTATACCACAAAGACTTGGTTGTGCATTTTCAGGTAGCCAGCCTCTGGCTTCAAGATAATTCTGAATGGGAAAAACAACTACAAAGTTGGTATGGCAGCCATTCCTCTAACACTAAGAAGGTGCCTGAGCAACATGTGATATTAGAATTTAACTCATTAGTGAAGAATACCTGAAATGTCCTAGAAATGCCACTTTAAACAACAGATGCATTCATAAATATTGAAAGTCACTGTTATTAAGCACTGACTCAAAAGATGACCTAAGCTCGATTCAAAGACAGGTTTTCTTTTAAATGGCTCATAATGAGAAATTCACTAGTAAAATCAGATTTCACTCTGCATAACCGCATCACTGGAGTTACTGTGAAAGATTCTACAGTTGGGTACATTGCAGAAGGCAGAGTGGTTTTATTGTCCTCAGAAGACTATCTGGTAATATTTTCATTTAGACATGGGAAAATATATTCTGAACAATGACCTTTTTTAAACAGGTAATGTAATATACCAATGTGAGAACCCAACTGCCCCTAAGCTTTTTGCTTTTCAAACATTTTAAATTTGCTCCAAGTTTATGTTTTATTTCTGTTCTCCAAAGAAATGTCTCTTTTCCTTTCCTGTCCCCAAGTTTAAGCCATTTTTAATAAAAGGATCATTTTGGAGAGACTGTGAGGCACTGGAAGCTTGATGGGCACCAGAGAAATATTGTGCCTCTCTCTGGTGTCTCTGATCTAAAAGAGATTCAGAAATTTTAGACTCACAGTTGCAAACATGAGAATGGACATGTGTGGATGTGCCTGTGAAGCTACAGAAAGCTTTTTTGCCTTTAGTAGGAGGTTAAGTGGAGGGGAAAAGATAATCCTCTCAATTCCGTTTAGAAGACAGATGCCTAACTGCAGCTGGCCTTGGAGAAGTAGGAAGTGTATCTTTGAACTATAGGTAATAGAGCGTCAACCAGGAAATTTGAATTAAATCCTCAGTACTGCCATTGGTTTTGCCTCTGATTTCTCCCTAATCAGCCTTTTCTTGTCAAAAAGGCTCTACGCTCTGTCTTGAAAACATTGCGGAAGACACATGAGTAAATATCAGACATTCTTATAGTCCAATAAAGAAAACTACCCCACCAAATAAATGGAATATGGGCACGAGCAACTATGCATAGGGAAAAATGAAAATACACTTGACCAAAGATATAAGAAATACCTGCTAAAAATCTTCCTTTTATGTCAATATAAAAGGCATCAACATGTATACTGCGCAGAAGAAAGCCATCTGAGATTATTGCTTGAGTTATCATAGCAAGTTTCATAGGAGAAAGTCAAATATGTCAACTGATCACAGAATACTTTGCTGCGTTACTGGAAACTCTATGATTAACTTTTTGATTACACCACTAATATGACTGAAACAGGGACTTATTAACTTTTTTTTTTTCCTAGAGACCAATTCCATTACCATTTTAAAATAAAAGGAAATTATCTCCATGAAGCATCTTACAACTTTTAGGAAGAGAACAAATTACCGGAATTTGGTACATATACACATTTCTTGTGTGCGGTTCTCAAGATGGAAAGTAAAAACAGATAAAGTGAATTCAAAATCAGATTACTTCCAGTAAATTCAGAACCAGATTACTTCCATTGAAGTCCTCTATAGGATTTCTTCATATAATTTCTTTCTTCTGTTCTCTTTCTTTGCTTATGAGTTAGCGAACAGTAAACAAGTCTTCTTATTTGAAGAGTCATGTAAAGATTATGCTTAAAATCACCAGTGGTCTAAGCAGTACTGCAAATCCTCTGCTGAGTTATGAAACGAGGTTAAATGGCAAAGTACTAGCTACTGAATCTGGTTATCATTTGTAGGCAATTCAATAACTTGATACTCTGTAGAGATCAAATTCAGCACCTGTCATAATCATTGTAATTCCCAGTGAGATGACAGGAAGCCAAGTTCTGCTCTCAGTTCTGGTGGTACAAATCTGATGCATTTTTAACTGTAGTCAGCTAAATCACCCTAGATTACAGCTTTAATTAACAGAGGAATTTTCATATGCTTAAATCTGGATTGCATTTTGGTTCATTAGGTAAAACTGTGTTTACAGTCCCAGGGTGATATTTAATCTTTTCCATAGCAGATGCAGCAGAATGTGTTATTTACTCTTAAAGCACGGAGAATTTAGGGCCCTGCCATGGGACAGAGAAGTCTAGGAATGCACCTCTTATCAAATCCCTTCAAGCTTTTGACTCATTGATACAGACAGTATGGGAGAAGGTAGTCATCCCATGCTTGACCACAGAGGAAGCAAGTTATTTCAAAAAGGAAAACTCATGCCACAGAAAGAAAAGATAAAAAGAAAGCATTACCATCACATTACATATCCTTCAGTTTTTGAACTTCCGAATTATTTTCTCGCCTCCTTCAGCAAAAAGGAAAGCTATTAGCATAAAGAGTCACCCTCTGGCTTCCTAAGGCTGGCCCAATAAATCAATTTTCCAAACTACAGTTGACTTCACAACAGACTCTACATTCATTTCCACACTCATACTTTCACTGACAGGTCAGTGCATCTCCCTTTCTTTAGTAGCTGTTGCTTAGCAAGCCACTGGTTGTACTCACTGCGTGGACTGGGTTGCACTGATCTATTGGGCTTTTGAAGTCTGTCCGAAGTTCATCAAAGGCAATTATCTGGGGGGAAAAAAAAAAAAAAAATCAAATATGGTAATGAATGCTCATTCAAATCCTTATTTTTGCTTTAGGGACTAGTTAGATGCACTGCCTCCCCTCCTCCCTTTCCAGAGAAAATATGGGAAACTAGCTTCCCCAATACACTCCTTTAAGAACTAACTAGTTAAAACAAAACATGGGATACTCCTACATATGACACCTAGAACCCATTAATCTGTCACTCTGTAAAATTATATCTACAGCCTTTTCAGCATTGTTGCTTTCCAGATTTCCTCCTACAATTTTTTTATCAAACTTCCAAATGACATAAAACTATTTCAGAAATAAATGCATCTCTAGACTTGATGGAAAAAGTCATTAGCTCCCTAAAACATAGAGACGCATCAGATATGCTATTCCAGGTTTAATACATACACAACAGCCCTTTTTTATTAGTTGTTAAACCTACTTCAGACATTAATTCTGAATTAGTATCAGCTGAACTATTATTAAGCCGCTATTCATTATCAAGCAAACCCCTCAAAAGGTAAACTACTCCAGAGCAAAACATGCCCTCCTTAAATTCTGGCAGGTTTTAGAACCTTTACCTCAGACCTCATTAATGGAGACATGCCTTTTGCTCGTGTCCTTTAGTTTCCTCCATTAACTGATGGATTCAGACACACTGGTAATTACTGCCTACTTTTAAAGTACAGCAGATAAAAGTGCCCATAAAAATAATTATGCTTGATAATGTTTTCTCGGAAAGAAAACAGCTGTAATAACTCTCAGCATATTTCACTCAAAGATCTCAAAGCATGTTCTTAACTTTATTTTATGTTTGTGTTCTAGTAATACCTTTTCTTCTGCTTGCTTCACCCAAGGAATGAAAGCTCACTATGACAGGCACCACATAAACACATGTTAAAACAATGATTTCTCTTTAAACAATTTACAACCCAGGAAAGTATTGGTTCTCAATAAAAAGATGATGGAAATACAAGGCAATACGATGATGGAAAAAGATGATGGAAATACAGGCAAGGAAGGAGAGGTGGTAGGGAAGCCTTGTACACTAGAGAGTGTTTTGACTGTCTAGAGCTCAACAAAGGTAATGATAAGGTTGAATGCTTATGGGTAAAGATCAGAGGGAAGCCTAATAAGGCAGATATCCTGGTGGGAGTCTGTTATAGACCACCCAACCAGGATGAGGGAACAGACGAAGTTTTCTACAAGTGGTTGGCTGAAATCACAAAATCTCGAGCCTGTGATCGCGTGGGACACCTCAACTTACCAGATCTGCGCTGAAAACACAACACAGCAGAGAAAAAGCAGTCTCGGAGGTTCCTGGAGTGTGGGGGAGATAACGTCCTGAGGCAGCTGGTAAGCGAGCCGACCAGGGGAGGTGCCCCGCTGGACCTGCTGTTTACAAACAGAGAAGGCCTGGTGGGCGATGTGGTGC